GAAAGAATGCTGTGTCGTTAGCAAAACTGAGAATGTTTCCTTCGGAAAGCATTTTTTTAAAACTGTTTATATAAATAATGAATAGTATTGGACCCAAGACCGTACCTTGCGCAACTCCGTAAGTAATTGTTCTCGGACTACTTTTCTTTCCATCGATGTGAACTATTTGTCCTCGATTGTTGAAGTAGGAATAAAACTGTTCATACGCTCTGCCCCGTATGCCAATGTTTTCTAATTTTTCGAGGAGTATCGAACGCTTTCGATAGGTCAACAAAGATACATAATGCAGGTTTTGATAAATCCAACGATTCGTAAATTTCTGATGTTAAAGTGAATATAGCATCCTCTGTCGACCTCCCCTCCCTGAATACTTATAAACATGAGATTGAATGATAAAATTGATGACAAAATAAACAAAGAAATATAGATGAAACGAAATTGATGATTCAAATGACGATGACAAATATTCGGTATCATTGTGGAAAATTTTGATAAGATGTTCTGTATTTTTCATATTTTAGGAGGCAGGTACGAGTATTTCAAAGATGAATCGGTAACCACATTACATTATTTTCAGGCAAGATGATGAAGACAAAATTGTTATTGTCATGGCCAGAAAAGAATATATAGAGAAAAATTTATATTTCCCGAATGCTTATGCAGACGATATTCTTGGAAACTACTCCACCAATTTATATCAGAGACAATTAAAAAAATTGAAAGGTTGTGATGATCTCATAACCATCTCAACTCTTCTCAATTTTCAAGTTATCCAAATAGAAGTACCCCCTCAAACTGGTGGTTTCTCATGTTACAGCATATTCAGTTAAAATAGCAGAAAAATTAGTCATTATCGTTCAGAACCATAATTTTGCATTCTAAATTAGGTTTGATCAATTTAATTCAAGATATCACATCTCTGGGATATGCTAAATCAATTTCATTCGATGCTAATATTTTGTTCCTCAGTATTAATCCAAATGAAAATATCAGAACTGAAGAGAATCTATTGGACAAAAAGTCAATCAATCCTATAGTGAAACAGGAACTATTAGAGTTATTGACTGTGTGTTTATCACAGAATTATTTTCAATTCAATGAAATGTATCATTCATTTTTATAATTGGGCACACTAAGTTCTTTGTTGGTAGAAATTTTCATGGATTTTGTACCGAAAGTGAACAGCTACCGCTGATGGGAAATTTCTAGTATTAGTACGTATATATCGATAAAATTCTACAGGAATAAATAGATAAGTCAGTAGATGCTTTGATTTCGTCAATTCTCTCCACCCTTCCATTATTATTCTCAATTATTCTCAACCGGCATGCGCAAATATAATTATTCGTAATTCTTTTACCCATCCATATCAATACAAGACATCAACATTTTACAGTATGAACCACAGAAAATGACTATTCGTTTTTCTGCTGTGAATTCTGCTGTCATCTAATAGAGTCTTCACTGTCCAAAAAACTATTCAGTCAAGTCATACAGGAAATGTACTCGAGACTAGAATGAAAATGACAAAACGTTAACTTTTTTTGATCCACCTAGTATAACGATCTCATATTTCATATAGAATAGGGGTAAGGCATAACTCTTGAAACCAATAATAACTTGAGCATATACATTGTACATAACAAAAATAATAGTTTGGTATCAGATAGATCAGGAGTTCATAAATTGTCATGTTGTTCATTCCCAATAATTTCTTTTTTACTATAAACCGAGTTTCAAGAGTACGGCTCTGTCAAACTCTGAAAACCTGATTCAGTCCCCAGCAAGGCAGGTACACAGAATGTGCTTTGCTGTTTCATATTTTCTAAATAGAAGCGACACACACTGTCTTTCGACAGTCCGAGTCTCTGCATATGATGATTCAAATAACAGTGACCTGTGAGAAGGCCTATTAGACATCGTAGTTCATCCCTAATTTACTCCAATTGTTTAGTATCAAGCTTCGAAGGGTGAATAAATGCCTTGGAGTGAGCCAATCCTGAAAGATTCTGCCAGAAGTCCATAAATCTTTTTGTCATTCAGGTGTTCTATGTTTGTTTGGCGAAGCCTAAAGCGATGCCAATGACAGATTCTGGTCCGATGAAGCTACTTGCAGCACTCTCCTTTGCAAGAGAATCAGCAGCCTCATTGTCTTCCAGTCCAATGTGGTCAGGAATTCAGACCAGAGACAATCTGTTGAGTCTTTCTATCGAGGAGAATCGTTTTTGGCAATTTGCTACCAATTTTGACGTTGCCCGGTAGGAGCCAAGAGCTTCCAACATTGCTTGACTGACCGAGAATACTTTATTGACTTGTGTATGAGGTTGGACTGTTCCATTCTCTCCGCACACAATTCAATAGTTGGATGTTCGCTTGAAATACAGTCGCATAGGTTGATATTTTTGTCCTGGGTCTGCGACTGAAAACACCTGCACCAGAACCTGAAGGTTTATTTGATCCGACAGTGAACCAACAACTATCTACTTTTAATATTTCCTTCTCCCGGAAGATCCAGCCCTCTCTACTCGGGAAGAGTACTTTATAAGACAGTTCGTAGTTGACAGTTGGAAGCATGAAGTTAGAGGTCACTTCCTGAATGATGTGACTTCCAGTGTCAACCAACACTCTGCATTAAATTGATTTGTGCAATTGGCAATGTGCACACGTCTATATGCAGCCAATGTAGCCTCTCTCTCCAGAAAAATGTGGATTGGAGGTAGATCTAGAATGATCTCCATGGCCGCTGACGGTGTGGTACTGATGGCATCACTGATGGCATCACTGATGGCTAGACAAGCTTGTCTCTGTAAGCCAGAGAACTTCACCTGAGCCGTTTTCTGTAAAGCCTTCAGCCACCAGGCAATTGCTTCATAAGTGATCATTGGGCTGACAATCATCACATAAATCCAATGGATTTTTTTGGGATCTAAACCTCCAAGTTTTACCACAAATCTAACAACATGTCCATAGGGCCAGTCTGGCTGTGTGTAAAATTTTTTCTAAGTGTTCTGAAATATCAGTTCGAACCGTTTCGATCTTCGATGAATTTCATTTATAGCAATCTGATAAGAGAATGATGATTCAAATATTTCTTTATTACGCATTGGAATATCAATAAGATTTTTTCTCCTCAAATTAAGAGCATGAACATATGTCCTGTATGTGACTCTCCTGCACAGATATTCTGGTGTATTAGTTTTGAAAATTTTATAAAAAAACAACGTGAAACGACGTAAACAACGATGAGACATACTCATCCGGCCCATGTAACCATCTACTTGATTCGAATAAATTTAACAATTCGTGTGTTTTGAATGATGATCTGGCATCGAATCCTTGCGCCAAACTTAGTCATACGTCTTAGGCAGAATGATCGATGGAGTGTTTCATACTCACCCTCGCAGTGACTGAATATTCAAAGAACTCACAGGGGACCGAGAATGCTAGGAAAATGCTAACAATATGAAGGAAGAAAAAAGAAAGTTCTGCGTGACGGTTTGGCCTAGATTTGTATCACGCAAAAACCAAATTACACGTATTTAAGATGCTAGTAATGAAAGTTCTTTGAGAACGAAAACGTGAAAGAAAAAATGTGTCATACTTCTCAGTAGGGGTCAATTATGATTTCAATTGGGTAACCTAAACACCTAAACCCGATTTCTTTATCACGACACGAGATCCAACCTTGGGGAATAACTAATGAGAACAATCAAGAAACATTAATTTACTAGGGAATTGAATAATAAATTCTCTCGTGTTTTTGTGCAATAGCCACAGAGGGCTATCATCCCAAAAATATATATACTTTTGCGGTGATATATAATAATTCACATAAAACTTCCAATTTCCTGCTATGAGTGCACTGAATGTACATTCGGATTCTGTTTGAAAATTTAGGAGTTGATAAATATATATTATGGTACACACAAAAACCAAATGCAGGTACATTATCGTGATGCAAAAGCCAAGAATTATTTTTCCATATTACCTTACTAATGACCATGTGGCAAGAACTCCTGATTGCACTACGCCTCGGTAATAAAATAAAAAGTGAGAAGAACTTTGACATTTGATCGAACTTTGCGTGCTTTTTTTGGTCATGGCTCTTCTGGGCTCTACCATTGGAATTTGGTTTCAATGTCATGGTATAGCCCTTTTAAGCAAATTTGTATCGCCCGTGACGTTATTCAACAATTTGTGAGCGATGGAACGAACTTCGCTGCCATGCACTTCATGCCCAAAATTTCCGAAAATATTCCATGGCATGAACCAACCGATATGCCGACATCCTCAGCAACTTCTTTAATAGTGATTCGACGATTCTCCATAACAATCTTCTTCACTTTCTCAACATTTTCATCGGTTGTTGATGTGCAGGGGCGTCCAGGACGAGTGTCGTTACTCACATCTTCTCGACCTTCTGTTAAAAGCGTATACCACTTGAAAACATTTTTCTGACTCGGAGTACAATCACCATATGCCACTGTCAACATTTCAAGTGTTTTTGAGCACTAAATTCAATTTTTTACACAAAATTTGATCGTAGCCCGCGGAATTTGAACATTCACTTTTGTCATACTGCAGTGATGACAAATCTTTAATACTGACAAATAAAACTGGAATCGAATATTTTCACAAATTGAATGTAGGGAAAACAGAAAGTATACTGAAGAATATAATTCATAACCCCTTTTATATAAGCGACCGTATAGCTGGAGTGACACTCATTCTCAGTTAAATAAACTACCAGCTTTTCCTTGTTAAAAAAAAGAATTGTTGAAATCTGTTTTTCCGTTACCTAGATGTTGCTCCCCTACGAACAACAACTGTCAAAAGTCGAAACTTTTGCGAGCTAAGGATTAACGAGGTCTATTGGTCAGAAACATTTCATATACAATACGAAAAAATGTACTTTCTCAAAAATGTTTTCATTATTCGTTAAAACATATTTGGTTTTCATGAACTGAAAAAAAAATTTATGTTACTAATTTCTGTTTCAGGACAATTACAATGTGCTGCATATCTCTGCAATGTATTCAAGAGAGGACGTTGTTAAACTATTACTCACGAAGAGAGGCGTTGATCCCTATTCCACGGGAGGTGTAAGTATTGCAAGAAAAGAACAATTTTAATTAGTTTTGTTATGACAGTTTCTGAAATTCTCACACCTGATTCGTTAACGAAGTCAGATTATTGAGATGCAGATAAATAACACTTATTTATTTTTGCTGCTGTTGACTTTCAGGCACGATGTCTCTCAAATCATTTTTTTATAAAGTCTTATCAAATCTATATTATGTTAATCTTATACTCGTAAAGGCTATAAAATTGTGTTTTGTATTTCACTAGTTCGGACTTCCATTGTCTAATATATAAAATGAGATTGAAATCCCTCAAACAACTAAAAAAAAACTCTGGCCATTGAAGAAGTCCACAAGAAACCTCGGGTCTGGTTGAGATATGTTGACGACACCTTTATAATATGAAACCATGGGAATACTGAATTAGACGCCTTCCTGAAACACATCAACAGCATGAGACCTTCCATCACTTTCACAATGGAGAAGAAAATCCACAACGAATTGCCATTCTTAGACGATTTGGTGAAGAGGACTGACGCACTAAGTAGAAAACATCTGTATACCGAAAACCCACTCACACGGGACAGTATCTGAACGACGAATCCAACTCTACCATTAATCGACTAAAAGAGGAATCATCAAGACCCTATTAGACCGTGTTTTTGGCCTCTGTAATACGAAGGAAGGTCTCGAGAAGGAACTAGATATCATCAAAAATGATCTTCAACGGAATGGCTACTCCAAAGCGATGGTAGAAAAGACTTTGGGCTAAAAGACAAAAGGAGCCTCGCAAGGAAGTGATGCCGTCACAACCAGTGCTTGCACTTTCCTACATCAGAGGATTATCGGAAAGGATAAGCAGAATTGGTACCAAGTACAACATCAGAACCTGCTTCAGATCCGGTAACACTATCCGTAGCAGCCGCACGAAAACCAGGCCACCAAACGCGTACTGGGATTCCAAGAATTGCATTTACCGGATACCCTGTGAGTGCGGAAAATCCTATATTGGTGAAACTAAGAGGCCATTGAATGTTCGCATTGCCGAGCACAAGAAACACACACAGCGAGGGGAAACCAACAAATCAGGAATAGCAGACCATATTTGGACCCATCAACACAATATCGTGTGGTCCCAAGCTGAGATCATTCACAGAGAGGAACTTTGGTTTAGAAGAAAATTCAAGAAAGCTGCATACATGCTGTCCAACAACGTATTCAGCCAAGCTACCGTAGAGATACGCAACATATGGAAACCCATCATCACTGAAGTGAAAAATGGCCAACTCCCGCCGAACGATCATCTCCCACTGAAACAGTGAAGCGAATAAAATGGAAAGCATGGATAAGTGAAAGTACTCGAACGACCCATAAAAGGTCTTTTTTTGGAGGAATCAGTCCAGTCATCACCCGAAGACGATTGTTGATACTAACAATCGAAATGACGTGAACTAACGTAGCTTGGAATCTCTTAACTTTTTATTTTATTTTCATTTTTATTTCTTTATTTTTTGTTCAATCGTTCTATTTTTACTTGTATTTTATTTCACTATTATTTCATTTCAGGATATTTTTGCTTAATGTAATTGTTATTTTCAGCTATTCATTTTTTAATTCTTCTTTTTTAGTTGTTTCAGGGATTTCAAATCCCTGGCAATGGAAGTCCGAACTAGTGAAATTCATCATGGAACATTGTCAATCACCTTCAAACAAACATTTTGTTTTGTGTTGATTAAGACGAGTATCTCTATAATGTAATGTTTATCCGTAACATAGTGTGTAACGTTACGAAGACGTACTATTATTGCATCTTATCCGTGACCACGTTGACATGCGTAACTGTCACAATCCAAACAACTATTTGTCGGTTTTTAGACGTCGCGTCGCACCATACCATTGTTACGTTTGATAAGTGTTGCGTATCTTTACTTGTTACATGTGGCGTTGTTTCGTAAATTCATTCAGTTACGTTACGGCATAATTGACACGGCCAACTCTCGAAATGTTTTCGGAACGGACCGTGTCATTTCTCAACAAACCGAAGAACACGTTCAGTGCTGACCAAGCATTTTCAATTCAGTCAGGTTGGAGCCTAGCTCCCTTACCAATGTGCCTGATTTTTGTCACAAGGACAAATGGGTTCATGACTAAGAGGTGGTGGCGGTATGAAAGTCCTCAGACGTCGGTACCGCCCTTCGCGGTGTACCCGTACCTGACTGGAGTGGGATGGATGAAAAATGTGTTCAACCGTTAATGGCGGACATGAGAGCCTCATTCGACAGAGTGTCGGGGCCTTCTATATCAGGAGGGGACGTTCGCAGCATAATCTATAACTTCCCTAACTAACGGATTTGCTTTTCCGCGCTATCAAAAACTCGCCGATTCTTCGACCGAATGGACTGTTGAATGGAAGGCAGCTGCAAATATCTGCGGATGGCTTCATTCCGCACGAACCACGGAGCATTCACAATCATCCGTATCAACTTGTTTTGTACTCTCTCCAGAATAGAGATGTTAGACGGAGCCGCTTGTCCCCAGACGCCTGAAGCATACATGATGAGGCTTGAACATCATTTTGTAGATTGTAAGCATATTTTTAAGGCTCATTTTAGAACGGCTGTTGATCAGAAGGTACATACTTATGATCCGACCCTCGATCTTTGCCTTCACGGTTGTGATGTGCGGGTTCCAGGTGAGCCTACGGTCTATCAGGAGACCGAGGTACTTTACCCGCGCTTGCCAGTCGATCTTCCTTCCAGAGATTCTCACTTTTCTGGCCGAAGAAGATAATAATCCTCCCATGGTTATCGCCTGAGTCTTGTCCGGGTTCACTCTGATTTTCCATTCCAAGTTAGGGTAATAATATATTGGCCGCCAGGGTTACTATATTGAAGGGGTTGAGAAATAGGGTCGACTTTAGACGAGGGGGCACCTGAAGAAGGGGAAAAGGTGTGGTTGCAAACAAGGTTGGAATCAGTGACATAGTGACGTTACTGATACTGAGTTTGAATTTTTTTTATTGAAAATTACTTTGTGAGTTCCATTAATGGGAATTGAAGATGAGTTTTATAATAGTAAATTGTCAACTTGTTGGTCGCTTGATAAGGAATTTGAACGTTTTCGTTCTTTGATTCCCAGGGATTCAGGCAGGTTCAATTATTATTGTCCTGTATTTTCTTTATGTAATATATCGTAGTTCATGTCGAAATCATGGTTGTTCTCTAAATAGTCGCAAGCGCAGGTAAAACTAATCTCCTTTGGTTCAGAACTTCTTTTGTTTTCATAAATTTCTATACGTTCATCCTTTGAGATGAGAGTGATTATAATAGTGTGTTGATATTTGGGTCTTTATGGGTTCAAACATCTGTCTTTTCGTTAACCATCTGTCGCCTTCCTACGACAACCCTCAGAAATCGAAAGTTGTGCAAGCTCTGGGTTAACGAGGTCTTATCTTTTAACATACGATTCATAGCACGGGTAGTTCGAGATAGATTGTGAATTCATGTTTATTGGTGATTTTTGTAACTGTGAGGTCTAAATAGGTTGTCGAATTGTTCATTTTCAATTCTATTGTAAGTTCAGTGTTGTGAGTATAGTCAATTTATTGAACAAATTACTGTACTTGTCGATGTGCTCCTGTGAAGCAAGCTCAAACATGACCAACATATCTATAAAGCAATAAATGTTTTTTTTATATTAGATTTTCATCGATAGTAACTACAACTGTACAAAATGCATGTTGGTTTAGTAGAGGATAATCATAAATAGTACAATAATCATGGAAATTATACAAGTTCAGTACTAAAAGATAAACTCGAAAATGAAAAATTCCTGAAAACTGAATCACTCTAAATCAAACAAGTTAATTAAAATTTGAATTGAAACAACGAAACTTTGCGTGTTTCACTTTGTTTACTTGACACTATAAAGTTTGAAGTTTATATTGTATCAAAAGCGATAATTGTTTAAGGTTGCCTTGGCTACCGACGAGTTCATGCCAAAGTAATATTCAAACTTCACTACCGAATTTTGGAACATTGTTTTGTTATAAAGGTGCAAGTATCCGTACAAACGTTTCATTTCGTTTTGTCGACACCTTCAATCGACAAATTCATTGTCATAACATGATTATTTCAGAGTCGAACCCAAACAGCCGTTCATCTGGTAGCGTCTAGACAAACAGGAACAGCAACTTCCATTCTAAGAGCTCTACTTCAAGCAGCAGGAAAAGATATCAGACTGAAAACAGACGGGGTGAGTTATTATTCTTCTCTGTTACACGTTTTAGATACTTAGATGTATTTAGACTTTTCTTTCAATCAATCTTTCCTCCATTATAGTCATTGTGATGCATGCCTACACTTCAGACAATGGAAGAATACACATGAGTCATCAATTTTTGAGGACGCATGTGTTTGTCCGTCGAGAAACTGATTTCAATGAACAAATGATTCTATTTTTGAAATTATAAAAACCCAATAATACGATTATGAGTCCCAACTGTGAGAAATCGAATTTTTCGGTTTTGTTTTTTGAAATCTCTATTTATATATACAGGGTCTTTCGTTTTTTCGTCTTTGAATTTAAATAAAACAAAGTGTGTGTGAAATATCATCGAAATTTTCTATTCGTTTCAAAGACATATTGATGCCATTATGTGTGGAATATAACATCGTTCAAATGTCCGCCACGACTTCTCTGGGTGTAACGCATCCGAAACGTCCAATTTTCCATGACTCAGGCGCATAAATCACTCTGAATTAGACTTATGGCATGGGTTATGTTGGCTTTGAGGACCGCTTTGGTTTGTGGCTCATTCGTATACACCTAAGACTTGAAAAATTGCACGATCTCGATGGCCAGTTCACATCACCACCATGTGAGATGACCATGCCCTCAAATCGCTAGTGCAGAATATTTAATGTGGCATGAGTTGTGTGGCACATAGTACCGTCCTATTGAAACTACATGTCGTTGGTGTCCAGATCATCCAATTCAGGCCAAAAAAAATTGGTAATTATCGACCTGCAGTGCACGCCGTTGACAGTGATGACTTGGGAAACGTCGTTCTCGAAGAAATAAGGACCGTTGACGCCGCCAGCCGAAAATCCACACCAAACAGTGACTTTTTCGGGATACATTGGACGCTCTTGGATCTCATATAGATTGGTATCGTCCCAAATTCGACATTTTTGTTTGTTCACGTACCCTTTCTTTTAGAAATGGGCCTTATCGCTGGAGATGGTTTTTCGATGAAAAGTAGGGTTGCCAACTGCTCCAGAGTCGTTTCAGCGAAAACACGTCGTTGTCTCCTGCACACTCTTACAGACAGAGGTGATGTTTTCCACAGATCTTGCATTCCGTCGATGTACAGGTGTTGACCGATAGTTTACTGAACAAGTGGACTCAAATTCTTCCAACACATTACCAATAGTCCTATCGGTAGGATGATTATGGCGATCGTAAAATGGGCGAAGCGCGCGGTACGTTGCCCGAACAGAACACCTATTTTGACAAAACGATTTTATTGTTTGCACATGTTGTTGAATGATATATCCCTCCATGGTGATTTGGCAAAACATACTGAATGAATGACAACTGATTTGACAGATGCCGCTTCAACAATATGTCCGTTATCAGTTGTCAAAGTTCAGAAATACCTTTTGGAAAATCCTATATGATGCATGAATGCCACTGAAACAGAAGCCGAGACTAAAAACAGAAAATCTGTATAGATCATTCAGGAATCAGTCAACAAATGACCTACAAAGTACAAAACAACATTCCAACACTTGAAGCTGATAATTTTAGGGATTCATTAGATAGAAGCGGGGTTTTTCCTAAATGTATTAGAGTTCGAATTCTTCAATTACTGTAAAGCCAATTAGTATAATATGAAAATGATCATCTGCATTGAGATATTCAGTGCTGAGGAAGTGTTATGAACATCTTTTCGTATGAAGATAAACGTGTTCATTCATGCTTTTTTTTTTGATTCAGTGTATCAAGGATTTTCCTTTTATCTGATTGAAATAAATTAGGCCCGTACACCGTAGTTCGCATGCGGTAACACAAGATTTATTCAATTTTTTTAACTAACACCTCTCTGTTGCTGTAAACTGTTTTGATTTTACAATGGATCCGTCTCAAAATGAACGAGATGTGCGATGAAAATATTAGTGTGGAGGCCAATATCAGATCAGGATTTTTCATTATTACAGTCGATTTTCAGGGATAATGAATGTCACGTTATCAATTAGGATACTCACCCTATTTAAGAGCATGGGTGTTGATTAGGCAGCATTCACAGAGATTAATATTTCTAGATAAGTCAATCACAGACTTCAGATCATCATTTATAGTCCAGGTCACAAGATAAAATTGGTGTTCAGCTCCTTAAAATATGATCATAGCTCATTGGATTCAGAATGATGTGTGAAAAAATGCGTTTTGATGATTATACAGCACACAAAAAATTTCAATTGTTATACTAATGAATCAAGATGAAAAAATAATTATACATACTTGAGACATAAAAATAAAAGATTCTGAAAGAAGAGGAAATATACAATGAGATACTCGCAACTCCCTGATATATACCTGCATTATTTTAGATTCAAATATCAATTTGAAAAAATCACAGTGTAATGTGAAGATTTCGAATAATTTAGTCTCGTTGGGTTGACTGCCCTTGTTCATCTTTCACTGCCTGAATTGCTGTTTTTGACGAATGCATTGGCTTGTGGGGGTTGAGTAAACCGGCCATCGGATGCCTGCTTCCACGTAGCCCCGCTGGATACGGGAATGACAGAATCACTTGTGATTCTATTATTCTCTAACTGAATGGCATCCCAACGATGACTTAATCCTAAGGTGTGTGTATCCGTAACGACAAGATTAATGACACTGAGCCTCAACGGAACCTTCGAGATATCGGGCGCCCTCTCGTCGTAGCATCGCCTTGTCACGGTAATGCGAGGCTCTGCTGTGATTGACCTTCTTTCCCTAGCTACTCGTGGGACTTTTATGGACAGAGTAAACTTAAAAATTGTTTCTGACAATGAGTCTTCAAAGGAGATGGATGTCGAGCTTACGACTCCAACTGACATTCCTATATATTTAGATCAGGAGGGAGAGCTTTTCAACTCCTAATCCAATAACTGAACCTCTCCAACTCCTGATCCAATAACTGAACCTGAAAAAAAGGAAACGACTGAGTCGTCTCCTCAAGAACAGGGTACCTTATGAAACCGCCTTGCACCAAATTCTTGAGTGGGGTACGCAGAATCTGTCTCAGGTGGGGGAACAAACCCCTATGAGCAGGCGAAAAAGCCCTGCACGGTTGAATCTAAGGCATCGTCAGGTGTAGCTGACGTGCAAAAACTCGCATATGGGAAGGTTGTCAGGTATCAAGGTGGGAATCTTGCACCTTGACTATTCGACTACCTCATTAACAATGAAACAGCAGAGCATATACTTTGTGCCTGCCCCACTGGGGACCAAATCAGGTTTTTAAAGTTGGGCAGAGCCGTACTCTTACCATCTGACCTGAAAGAACACTCACCATACAAACTAATCGGCTTCGTTAAGAAGCTGGGTTTATTTGAACGAGTGTCAATAGGTGTGAGCCACAATAAACTCTTGTGGATTGCGGTGGAGGGTTGAATAGACCCACTCACTTTGGACCTAACCTAACCTAACCTAACCCGTTGGGAAAATTTGTGTTCACAAAAAGCTATATACTTACTTGTTAAAAAACACATTTTTTCCAACGATCACTTTTGATAATGGAATCATAAAAGTCTGAGCAATAGTTCAAATCTTTTATTTTCGAACAACTACAATGTTAATTCCAAACACTCAGACATAAACACTCACCTTAACTGATTATTTTGAAACGAATTCAAAGCTAAATATATTTGAATTCTCGTTATGAACTCCCCTAAGTTATTTTTTCCATTATTTCTGCTGATAAAACAATCAACATTTGTGTAAAAGTCCCAATATACGG